CCCCCCCCGACCCTCCCACCGAGGACAGCAGAACTGCAAGCCCTCCAGCTGCTCATTTGAGTCCTTTGAACTCAAAACCTGCTTTTGAGCCACTGTCAAGGTAACCACGCGGCTGAAAATAACTAATTGGGCAACATTCTCTGACTGCTGGCATGGGCAGTTATAATCTCAGCATCTCCGTGGCAACCTGACTGGAATTCTGGTTATTCGCACAAAGGAAAACCGGTCTCCGTTCAGACCAGGGCTGCATTTTGTCTCTATTCCACTTTTCTCATTACAAGTTGCTACTGAAGGAACAATGCCTCTTTTATGAAGAATGTTTATCACTGGTCCGTGGAAAAACAGCATTTTCGTAATCAGGGAAAATTTTGGAAAGGGAGAAAATGGTAATGGATCCTTCACTGCCACACGCAAAGAGATTTTATTAAGATAGGCTCTATACAAACAATAGTAGAGGTCACCGTGGGGTAGTGACCTATAGTCACGAGATGTCAATGGCATAGAATGGGCAATGGAGCCCTAACAACTACATGGCAATAAGTTGACCAGTGCTCATTTCCTGGGCACCTACAAGGGGCTATTGTATCCCTTGTAGGGATACAATCCCAGTGGCTCCCCAGGGATTACTGGGTGGCTACTCTGCTCTACCATCCCATCCCATGCTGGTGAATAAGGAGGAAACGTTTGTTGGAGGAAATGCTGTAATCCATTTCTCAAGGACCCTGCACAGAAAGGAGACGGGAGAGAGTGTAGGAACCCTGCTTGAACCAGCCGAACAGGCTGAACACAGTATAAATGCTAAAGATGGGTGGGAAATCAATACAGACTGACACAGCCAGGGAAGGCTGAAAGGAAAAGTTGGGCATCAGGCTGGACTTTGAAATGCAAACAGGATTTGCATAAGTAGAGAGAGCTCAGCATGGGGACAAAAATTGCTTTTTTTTTAAACGGAGTCATTTAAAAAGGACACATGTTAATAGCCTGTAGCTCTTCTGTCAGGAAGGACAGAAGCTATGAAACATGTCACTTGTGGGACAGCACCTTCATTCAGCAAGTTCTAGATTATTTCTAGAAACCATGGGTCCATAAGCATTTCACAGGGCAGACAGATTTCAAGTATTGAACACACATGACCATAAAAAAGTGGCAGACGCACATGGAATAAAGAATACATAACGCCATTAATTTTTTTTAATTTTTTTTTTAAATTTTTTAACATTTATTTATTTTTGAGACAGAGAGAGACAGAGCATGAACGGGGGATGGTCAGAGAGAGAGGGAGACACAGAATCCAAAACAGGCTCCAGGCTCTGAGCAGTCAGCACAGAGACAGATGCGGGGCTTGAACTCACGGACCGCGAGATCATGACCTGAGCTGAAGTCGGACGCTTAACCAACTGAGCCACCCAGGCGCCCCGCCATTAATTTTTTTAAACAAAATGCTATGTTTGTTCCAGGCAACAAAGGAACCAGTAAATGGCGTTTACTGGTAAATGGTGCTGCTGTAGTAATTTGCTTACATCCACCTTTCCCACTCAACTATGTTCCCTCCCGCCACAGAGCAAGGGCCAGGATCTCTTCAAATTAATATCCTTAGCAACGTGCACAGTATCCAGGCTACAGAGGGCACTTAATAAATACTGGTTAAGTAAATAAATAATTGTATCAAGACTGACAAGATAATATACATAAACTATTTCCTTTTTCATTGGTGAAATAAAGACTAAGTAAGGAAGACCATATATCATGAAGATATGGATACACATTCCTCAGCAGTATACAGCTGGGTACCAGAGAACATGTGAGGCCACATTCAAATATGGCACATCTTCCTGGAAAGCCTATTTTCCACAAGGACTTCCGTGTTTGTTGTTTTAACATAGTGGTTAAACATGGATAAGCTGGTATCAGTATTTTTTTCCAGTAGAGGTACCATAGTCAGCCTACCAGTATCTCTTCAGGTTCGAATTTAGTCTCCTTCACCAATAGGAATGTTTTGGTAAAAAACATCCAGAAGCATATTGTCCACCTGTACCGCTTATATCCTTGATTTTCAAATACAGCAAATGCTCTTTATTTTACCTCCTTCATTCAAAATTTCCCATTAGTTAGATGGACCTGGACAGTTGTTTAATTTCCCATTGTCCTCACAGAGTAGATTTTAAGAAAAGGAAACATTTAAAAAAGATAACAAAAGAAATACTTATTTAAAAAAAAACAGTCCATCAACTGATGAATGGACAAAAAAATTGTGGTTTATATACACAATGGAGTACTACGTGGCAATGAGAAAGAATGAAATATGGCCTTTTGTAGCAACATGGATGGAACTGGAGAGTGTTATGCTAAGTGAAATAAGCCATACAGAGAAAGACAGATACCATATGGTTTCACTCTTATGTGGACCCTGAGAAACTTAACAGAAACCCATGGGGGAGGGGAAGGAAAAAAAAAGAGGTTAGAGTGGGAGAGAGCCAAAGCATAAGAGACTCTTAAAAACTGAGAACAAACTGAGGGTTGATGGGGGGTGGGAGGGAGGGGAGGGTGGGTGATGGGTATTGAGGAGGGCACCTGTTGGGATGAGCACTGGGTGTTGCATGGAAACCAATTTGACAATAAACTTCATATATTGAAAAAAAAAACAACACCATCTCAGTCACGTGCCATTTACCTTGAATTGCTGCTAATTATAGTCAGACATCTCTACTAAAGCTGGTAGTCTAGGACCTGTGTTAAACAACATTGCCATTCTAGTATCTCTTAGTG